GTGTGTGTGTGTGTGTGTGTGTGTGTGTATTTATGCTATTTTACATCTGTGCTGACGTTGACATTTCTAACCTTCCCAGAAAAAAAAAGAAAGTGCAAGGCAGCAGGTTTTTCTGTTTTTTACATTTTACTATTTCTTGGGAAAAAAGGCAAAAGAATAAAATTGATTACATTAATGACTATTACAATAACTAAAAAAAATTCACATTTTATTTTAACAGATGYAGTGCTCAAAACGTTTACGAATCCTGCAATAATGACAAATCAGTTTTAAATCAGTCTCTTCGCTCTATTTTATATTTCATTTGTTTTACTGCCTTTTTTTTTTTTTGCTGCACAGTAATCAAGAACAACTTCAGTTAGTAGCCTGCTTTACCAAAAATTCTTTGAAGTGTCACATCCAGCATGAGCCCAGACCTGTCGCACTTGGCACAAGTTTAGTGTGCAAGTAGTCGTATCAACAAGAAAAGAAATGCTGCAGTCGACAAAACAAAGTGGAGCCTGCTGCACGAGCGGTGCATGATGGTCCACTGGTGCTGCTGTGGCCGGAAGAAAATTATAAATATGCTTAAAACACTCATTTTAATTGCACTTAACTGTGTTTAGTGATAAAAGACAGAACGAGAAGTGAAATGTAATGGAGCACAAATTTAAGCTTTCTTGATGCTGTTAGATCAAAGATGCATGTTTGGGTCAGTATTTTAGTTTTTTTTTTCTTTTGGTTGTTTTGACCTCTTTTAAAATCTCAATGCTTCATTGTTAACCGTGATTCAGTGACCCTCACAAACCTTATGTCTGCACTCGCCAAAGTCCTATAGTGGATCTCACAGGTGTCTACTTTCTTTGCCTTGAGCTAGCAAGTGTTTAAATGAAATATTTCCGTATAGACCGCACACCTCACTCTGTTTATTTCTTTGCTAGCAATGTGGACACTTGCAAGCATAGATTATACAAACTGATTTTGTCCCTTAACCATTTTTTGCGCTACTCATAATTTTGTTCACAAGTTTAGTGGATTAAGTTCATCCTAGGGTCACGTAGGGAAAAACGACCATTCACACACTCACAGGCTGTGTCCAAATTCAGGGGCTGCRTCCTCCGAAGGCCAAATTTGTTGGCCGCTTACATCACTGCATCGCGCCGGTGGCTGCCCAAATTCGAAGACTCYTCCGATGTGGCCGACAAATGCGTCCTCCTTTTTCCCCGATTTGAGGGACGGGTCCGATGGATCCTTCTCAGCCCATCGTAACCCACAATGCATTGTGGGATGACCGGAGATGTTTTTCCTGCTTGTGATGGCGGACGAAGCGAGAAAAGGGAGTATAGTTTTAAATAAAAATCTGATGGTATAAAAATTAAAAGTTTCAAGAATTTGCATTGTTAATGTTTCTGGCATTTGTGTGGACATGCTTTTAAATATTATTTATGTCAGAAATCAAATGAGCTGGTGAAGAGAAATAAATGTGCAACTACGGCAAGTCATTTAGTTCTTCCTATATAGCCTTTAAGCTAATTTTGTTGTTTTATAACACTAATATACTGATATTTTGCTAATGTTGATCTACTTTTGCTTCTGTTTAGCATCGTCACGATTGTTAGGCGACAGGACATACTCCAGGGTAAGGGCAGGAATAAAGCAGAAGGCTAGACTGTCCAAATTCACAGCAACTTCTTTCCAGTCTTTGCRGTCAACCAAGGACCCGGCCCAACTAGACCGTGTGGGCCGGGTCCCTTGTAGGATCCAGCTCCTGAATTTGGACACAACCACTTATAGTGACAGTTTAGAGTTAAAGTCAAGTAGTCTAATATAAATACCTTTGCATGCAAACCAAAGAACCTGGAGAAAATACCCGTTAAACAAGTAAACTTCCCAGAAAGTCATCG